CTTAATAATTGTAATTTCATGTCATTTAGACTCTATTTTATTTATTTTACTTTTTTGTTTTGTCTGCGCACATACATGTGTGTATTTACATATATATTCATATTTGTACATGTAAATGCTTATATACATACATATATACACGTATGTATGTGTGTATATATGTGTGTGTGTGTGTGTGTGTGTGTGTGTGTGTGTGTGTGTATATGTGTGTGTGTGTATATGTATGTATATATGTGTACTTTTTTTTTTCCTCTGATAATGTGTCTGATGGGAGTCATCAGCCTTCTTTTGTGAACGTACTTAGAGCAGAAAGCCTGAGTTTACAGAGAGCTGATAGCAGTTGTGATAGCAGTTATCTCTGACTGAGGTTTTAGGTTGCACCTGTCTGTCTGTTTATTTTACCCGTCTAATATCAAATTCGGGTTTCCTGTGAGATGTCGATTAATCATGACAAGAGTACTTTAGATATGCGCACCTGCTGTGGCACTTTAGAGTTGGCACCAATATGCAAACTCCAACGCTTAAGTCAAGGCAAGTCAGTTTTGTTTTTTTTTTGACCCGACAATGAGAAAGAAAACCCTGAAAATTACATGATCCCCTATGAGCAAGCACTTGGGCAACAGTGGGAAGGAAAACCTCGCTTTCAACAGGAAATAACATCCAGCAAGAGATGGGACAAAAAAAAACACACTGAGGAAGGGCCACAGATTAATAATATCTAATGATTTCAGAGTGGTGTATAAACACACACGAATGGATCTTATGAGTATTAATTTTGAATTCCAGGTAAAGTATACTTCTGTGTTTCCTGGTTTTAAAGGTGCGGCAGCAGATTGAGAAAAACCTGGCTGAGAAGTCCACTGAGCTGGAGCAGTACCTGCAGAGGGTCCATGAGCTAGAAGACATGTATCGCCAACTGGAGCACGCTTTGGAAGACGAGAGGCGTGCCAGACAGGATGAGGAAATCATCCGTAAGCTGCAGACACGGTGAGTCAAAGGGTGTGCGGAGGGAGAAATGTTTGGGTTTGTATAAAGAATATTCCCCACAGAGCCTCACTCAGATCCTCTGATGAGGAAACTTGGGTCACTCGGATCTTTGCATACATCTCCTATCTGGAAAGCATAACACTGGGATAAATATATTCATAGAAATTATTTTTTGTTACCTTAACAATCCAGCACTGGCGCTACCAAATTTCAGTGAAGCATGAAACTTAATATTCCTAATGAAGTGCATTACATGAACCTCTGTCCAAAGAGCTGAGTCTAAGTCTTTGTTTTCCTAATATAGGAGGCTATACACAGCCAGACTTTCAACTTCTCCTTCATAAACGCGACATTTCCTCCCTCATCTTTCCTTCCTATCTGCTGATGAATACATTCCAGGTCACATTTGAGAAGTCACCAGCGAGTATTTCCTTTAAATGTAGTCGCTGTGTTAAAAATGGCAATCAGTTCTTTAGAAGAGGACAATTTTCAGTGGCTGTTTTTTCTCTACAACCACAGTTAAATGAGTAAAATATGCCTGAGACCTAAATGGCAGTGTTTTATAATGAAACGTATAGGTGCTTAATGAGATACAAGAAATATTAAAGACTTGCCACTGAAATTTTGAGAGAGGAGATTTGCAAGGGGCACAGTTGTGCAGCACTATATACATATGAACCGTCTCGGTGTCAAAAAATATCAACTATACAAATCATGACATCACCACAAACTCAGATCACCTTTATGGAAAATATATTTCATAAAAATTTTTGAACTAAATTATGTTTGTATATATTTATGTTTATTATATTTACTTGTCTAACTACACTATTGCACCACCTGCTGACACATCTGTTTACAACTGATTTATACATTAGCTTCTTTATTATTCTTTTTTTTCTTTTTAAAACAATTCTACTTTTACAGCCTGGAAATATATTTCTCTTTTATTTGTGAAAAGGTGTTTGCCTCCTGCCTGATTTTCTCTTTTTTGTGTTTTTTTTGTCACACTTAAATATTTCAGATAATCCAAACAAATTTAAATGTTAGACAAACATAATGCAAGTAAATACAAAATCAAGTTTCTAAATGAAGGTGAGCTGATTGCCCCCTAAACCGAATAACTGGTTGGAGCACCCTTAAAACTGCAACCAAGCTATAAGTGGTAATGAGTCTTTTACAGCACTGTGGAGAATTTTGGTCCACTCATCTTTGCAGAATTGTTGTAATTCGGTCACACTGGAGGGTTTTCGAGCATGAACTGCCTTTTTAAGGTCATGTCATAGCATCTCAATCGGATTTAAGTCAGGACAAGGCAACTCAAAAGTCTGCATTTTGTTTTTCTTAAGACATTCAGAGGTGGACTTGCTAATGTGTTTTGGATCATTGTCCTGCTGCCAAATCTAAGTTTGCTTCAGCTTGAGGTCACAAACAGACGGCCGGACGTTCTCCTTCAGGGCGTTTTGGTAGACAGCAGGATTCATGGTTCATTTACCACAGCAAGTCTTCCAGGTCCTAAGGCAGCAAACAGACCCAGACCATCACACTACCACCACTGTGTTCTACTGTTGCCATGATGATCCTTTTCTGAAATGACACACACCTTTTTGTCTCGTCAGTCCACGGAGTATTTTCCCAAAAGCCTTGGGGATGATTAAGATGTTTTCGGGAAAAACGAGACGAGCCTTTATGTTCGTTTTGCTCAGCAGTTGTTTTTTGTCTTGAAACTCCCATGCAGGCCACTTTTGCCCAGTCTCTTAAGGTGGAGTCATGAACACTGACCTTAACTGAGGCAAGTGAGGCCTGCAGTTCTTTGGATGTTGTTTTGGGGTTGTTTGTGACCTCTTGGATGAGTCGTCGCTGTGCTCTTGAGGTAATTTTGGTCAGCTGGGCACTCCTGGGAAGGTTCACCACTGTTCCATGTTTTCACCATTTGTGGATAATGGAATCACTTTTTCCACACAGGGCCATGTAGGTTTGGATTCTTTTTCCTCTTAAGAGTAAGCACCTTCATTTAGAAACTGCCTTTTGTGTTTACTTGTGTTATTCTTTGACATATATTTACATTTTTTGATGATCTGAAACATTAATGTGTGACAAACATACAAAAACTAGAAACTTAGGAAGGGGGCAAACACTTTTTTTTCTTCTTTTGTGTGTGTGTGTGTGTGTGTGTGTGTGTGTGTGTATACAGTATACAGTGCACACACTGTTGATAATAGTAACTACACAGGGTCTAATATTTTTCTCAAGAAGTGTCAAATCTGTGGAAAACGCATGTACGGGCCACATACTTTGTTTATGCAGTGATCTGACCCTCCTGGGGGTAGGACCCATGCTGAAGCCTGCCTGTAGTAAATGATATATGTACTGTGGACCAGATTACTGGAGGAGGAGGCCAAGAAGAGAGCAGAGTTGGAGCAGATCCATTTGCAGCAGAAGCAGGCCATCTCCGTCACGGTGGCTGAGAAAGAGGAACTGGAGAAGGAGCGTCTGGCCAAGGAGAGCGCCCTGCAAGCTGCAATGAAGCAGCTGGAGCAGCTGGAGCTGGAGAGGCAGGGGGCGCTGGAGCAGTATGAGGTCAGTGATGGGGGGGTATAAATATGGATGCAATAGGACTAGTGTGAAAACTCCTCTGTGGAATGGAGCCGTTACCCACAAATAAATCATTAAAACAATAAAAAGGGAAAAACTCAACTTATCATCATTTCTATGAATGTTGACATTTTATGACTAAATTGTGCCTCTTGCTGTAGTTCAAAGCAGTTACTGAGCAGTCTTTGAGGTTTGCACCTAACATATGTCCTCAAAGCTCCTTTCAGTTGTCCTTCCTCATATGTAGCACACAGCAGGAGACGGTCTGCTCCACTCAAACTACAGAAGCTGCTACATGTGGTTTAGAGGTGGGGGCCACCTGCATGCAGGAGGCAGAACATGCAGCATCCACCTTGCTAGCAGTGACTGGACTATTTGCACAGCAGCTTTCCATGCAAATATGCAGACTCATCATGTGATTAGTCTGTCATTCCCAAAAGAATTCACTTTTAATCAAATACTTTGTGGAAGCCTCAGGGACACCTGTTCAGGCTTAGCCATTTAGACAAGATTTCTTTAGACAAGAGATTTAATACTAACCACTTGTGAATCAGTATGCTGATAGGTGCCATGTTTACATCTATTAAACCTCACACATGTGTTGCGTTTTCTGTTTCTCCATGTGTGAGCCAGACGGTAAAGAAGAAGCTGGAAACTGCGACCAACAACACCAAGACCTGGAAGCACAAAGTGGCTGAACATGAGGGCTTGTTACGGCTCATTCAACCAGGTAAACAGAAACCCAATGAGCATCCACCTGCACCATGTGGTGCTTCTCTTAAGAGCTGTTTGACAGTTAAAATTCAAGTTTAAGGTTAGGGTTGGGATTATTTTTAGGTGATAGTGATATATTCAGAATATCATACATCTGTTTATTCATATAGAAAATATAAAATGAGTTGTTTTTTTCACTATAACATA